TATTTTGTTGTATGCTTAGCCTTGAAAAACTCTTTGTAAAGGTCTTCGTCCGGTGGTCTCGACATTTCTTGGTCTGAGAACTCGGCTGTTCCTACCATCCATTGGGTCCAGAAACTATCGTAGCCTCTTCCTGCAATCGACTCAAATTAGCATCCCACCATGGAGAATGGAAACGATGAAAATGAAACCAACGCGCATTCCAGGTTCCACCGACGCAAGTGTCTCTATCGATGATTACCAATCGGGCTTCCGGATGAAACTCCAAAAAATGCTTGCTTGCACAAATGCCGGAAATTCCTTTTTGGATGCAAAAATTAGTGACAGAATCAAATGCGAATGTGTAAGCTTTATTGAGCCTGTTGTATTTACCTGCACCGATTACGAGAATGTCCACCTCAACAAAGTCGCTCATGATGCTTACTAATAATCAATCGACGTAAAGAATAGTCTTAATTTTTTTCTGAGCTCAAACATTCACTGTAAGAAAAGGGGAACTCATGAGAGACGGGTACCTAGGTAGGTAGTTATATCTATCTCGTGGCTGGTTTGCGGCAAAGTAATGTCAAAATTCAGGAAGGGTAGTAAGACGGAAATAAAGACGGCTACCTATTTATGGTCAATACTACCTACCTAGCAAACCTGGAATGAGTCGATAATGGCAATCCTTATCTAAAAGAGAAATTTTCATGTGTTGCGGGCAAATCCATGGATGTAGTAGCATATAGTGGTCCATGCATCATGCATGGAGGTTGGCTGACAGGACAGGTTGCATATACAAAGGTTGACAACATAAGTATTATAAAACACACCAAAAAGCAACCGAGCTTTTCCCCATTTTTATTGTTTGAACTAATTATATCATTATATTAATTGAAAATTTATATAATAAACTCTAAACAATAAAAGTATTGTAAATTTATTTTACCCCTAACAAAATCATTTAAATTTATCGAAATTCATATTTTTCTTTTCAGAAATACTATTCTAAACTTATTTAGAATCTATTAGAAACTTTGAAAGCTTCAAAAGCTTTAAAATTAAAAGAATTGAAAATTTAAATAAAAGAAATAAAAATTCGAAATTTTAAAAAGAATAATTGAATATCTAATAAAATTAATAAAAGCAGCATTGGAATTTCGTAAAACAACAACTTTTATTAAAAATAGGGCTTATACGACTTATGCCTTCAACCTCCGTATGGCAACATGGCAACACTCATCCAACACATGTTTCATACCCCGGCAATACACCCGGTTTGATAACTAGCGTCCAAAACCACAGACAGATCTCATGCTCCGGGTTGATGTCTCATTTCATCAGACCATAGGTAGCTTTCAGAAGATCAATGTGGCTCTCCCAAACAATGGCAGCGACACTAGCGAAGGTCCTGTCGTTAGGGGAAAAAATAAATGCGATAACTCATTCTGAGTATTTGACAGGTTGGCAAGTTACAGCAGTTGGCATATCTATCATTCCAAGCATGTTTTTGGTTCGTGATCAATTATACCCTAAAATCATAATCACAGCCGCTGATTTCCTTTGAAGGGGTGTCGTTAGATTTGGTGAGATTGTAAGGTCCGGAAGGTACTAATCGTCGGCGCTCTTACAATCAACCGACTATTAACTAGGCAGCTGGTGCAGCTGGTGCCCAGTTTCGTTGGTTGATAAGTTATGGAGGTAAGGTTATATCAATGGGTACTAACTTGGAAGTAAACTCTTTACTATCGACTAGAATCCAGGCAACTAATTAATAACTGATATGTTGAGCACGAGGCTCTATGACTACAAAACCACAACAATTTCATTGAAGAACATCATCTCACCACAAAACCCTCCACGGCCTTATTTCAGAACCAATAATTATGTAGTACTGCAATAGTATTATTATATGCGAGTATGTGGAGAAAAGAGACAATTTTAATTGTGGGTGTGGAAAAGAACTGCGAGGAAGAATCGTCGTTTCGATCCAAAACTCAACCTCTTGGCTCTACAAGAATGCCTCCGTCTGTTTACCACACCAATCCACAAATTTGGCCGATATGCCCGATTCTCCAGTAATCGAACTCTCGATACCACTGGGAAGACTGCCAAATCTTCCCCAAGGATATATGTAAGCACCACTCTTCTCAGGTGTTATCTCAGGGGAAATGGCTGCCCAGAGCTCTGTGTACGCTCCATAAACTGGAGGATACACGATGAATGTATCCTGCAATCGCAAATTTGTCAGTATATACACGAGTAACAATATAGAGAAGTTCCATTGCTCACAGTTATCTTGCTGGCGAGACCAGTCCAATGACGTTGTAGTTCCGTGCGCAGATTACCTGGATTGAAAGCCGTGTGTACAACGCCTGTTTGCGGAGTAGTCTTGGCACACTCTCGAGCCAGGAAGACGTTACCAACTTTAGTCTGGCTGTAGTTGGCTGACACGCCAACATCCTTAAGACTGCCATCATCGTTGATAAGTATTCCTGTTGGTGGGGAGTCGACATGGATGGCAATAGACGCAGCCCATGCGACGCGCACGCTACCTGTTGGAGAGGAGGCCACGGTATTTGTAAGGAGAGGAAGGAGTAGTTGGTAAAGTAGGTAGTGACCTAGGCAGTTGGTCGCTACCTGCAACTCGTGTCCTTGTGCACTGGTGCTCCCCTTAGGAGGATACATGACCTAAAAGTTCACAAACGTACGACATGAGCAAGTTGCGTGTGTGTGTAAAGCATGTATGGAGGTTCAGGGAAAGCAGTACATACACCGGCATTGTTGACGAGGACATCAAGACGTTGTTGCTGGGAAGTAAAATGCTTGACCGCAGGCTTGATCGAGGATAGATCAGCCAGGTCAATTTGCAGAAACTGAATGCTACCGCTACTCTTAGGAGATGCTTCTTTGATTATGGATATGGCATTTTGGGCTTTGGATTCCGAGCGGCCTGCAATCCAAACAGTTGCGTTGTGAGCATAAAGAATTTTACATAATTGAAAACCGATGCCTGCATAACCACCTGTTACAAGAAAAATCTGAATAAACAATCGCGCGTATTAGAAGGGCATCCAAGATGTGAAAAGGAAAGATAAGGCTCTACATACCCGGCCTGTTTGATCGGGAGTATTCTTCTCCGTGAGCGACGCCGATGGAATGAAATAGAACTGGCTGAAAATATTGCCCATAATGTTGGTAGAATAACAGCTTTTGATAAGATGTTTACAGGTTCAAGGCGTTACGAGAAGCTTTTCATTAGAACTAGCTAGTTGATGGAGTTCATCTTCATACTTCTACTCTTGCATCCGCCCGCGCGCCCCTGGCTAGTTCCCCTTCTTCAATAGTAGCCTGTAGCTTATATTACAGTAGTCTTTAGTTTATGTAGCAGCAGCAGGCATATTGTATTGCTATCGACATGGTTCAACGAAAACCCCTGACTTTCTTGGCATGCGCCATGCTCAAGCGTCGGACCCAGCTCGGGCTTCCACATTTTGTGTCCACTACGAGGTATAACTGCCTGTGAACAGCCCTTTGGTTAGTTCGTTCTAGACAAAGCAATGAAGATTTTAAGGCTGAACAAGCAATGGGGTTTGCTAAATTTTCTGTTCATAGCACTTTCATATGGCAGAGCAAAAGTCATCCTCTCCGCGGTTAAGCATTGCGCGACCTATTGATATATGTAGCTTCTCACTAAATTACACCTTCCTAAAATATCTCAAAACCACTCCCAACATCATTCCATGCCAGCTGTTCGCCAACTACACGAGTGAACACAACGGCAACATAAGGTTATCATATCAACATACACTACGCAGAATTTCCGTTCCAACAACATCCCAGCCATTTTCCCTTTCTCTTGAAATAGTTTTGATAAAGAAACGCTAAATCTATATCTGTGCATACAAAGTCTCGTCACATCATTAGATCTGGAAGAGTGTGTCGAATTCATATAGGTAGTGCTTACGTTGGTAACGACTACCACCCTGATAAGATTAGCCACCAATCAACCCCACCCACCCCCAATCCTCAACCCCTCCACATATACGACACGAAATGCACTGGCCCCCACAAGCAAACGCCGCACACATACATGCATAAATCCCTACTCAATAGTTCCTCGTTCGTTGCCCTAATGCAATGCTTTTAATCATGAAACAAGGATAAATGGTGAGATTTTCGACTTCCGCTCCAATTGTAGTGAAGTAAATTAACCTGATCAGGGCCTGTCCGGTGCTATAGAAATTGAAGAGATACCTTGATACAAGCAAGCGCGCTGTCTGACGATTATATAAGCGAATCTCATCTCATCCGCTTACTTGTGTGTGTCCGATCAAAAGCTTGGCGGGTCATCGAATAAGCCTTCGCAAACTCACTCTGGACGAAATAAACGGCACACCGAAAACGCAACATTATTTTCAAAATTTTGTTTTTAGATCAATAATCAATATTTTTGATTTTGAATTGAAATTTATTATTTTGAATCTAATAATTTATAACATATCTTCCCTTTGTTTATTTTATTTTATTATTCAAAATTATTATTGAATTTTGAAATAATAGTGTTTTAAAGGAAGTCTCGATTTTGGCGGGTTTGGTGTGCCCGTTTTTCCGTCCAGAGTGAGGCAAATACCGTAGATGAGTCGCTGAAGCGTAGCGTCTCCATAAGGGATGAAAAGGGGAGGTTCTGGGAAGCTCTCACGTAGTACATAGGGTGATAATTGAGTAATAAGAACTGATTGCCTTCTTTCTACACTACATAAAGATGACCTATGGGTACTAGTTATAACCAGGTCACATGACCAGCACTTGTTTTCGCACAGTAACTGCGGCTCAACGACTAAATTAAGTTTGCGAATGTCCATTCTGCCATTTCAATGGAAACGATCCGAGGAAAGATGAAATGAATGAATGACTGATAAGTATATTGATTTCTACCAATTTTTTCTATTCAGTGTTGAGATCTCTATGGAGGAAATGTCCCGATCTTTATATTCATCCCTTTCCAGACATATTGTGTTGAATCATGCTCTCTTCGTCATCAAAACAGGCAAAGCAGGCTGAATCCAACCATTGTATATTCGTTGACCCTCCGCCCAGTTCTGGGTGCCTCCACCCAATTCCAGATCAAAACGCCATATTAGATGCGCGAGTGTGAGTTTGATAATATAAAGTGCAAATCTGTTCCACGATACATCAAGGTTAACTGTGAAATTTCCGTATTCAGAAGGCGGCGTTTTTCATAACTTACTGTTGGCCGGGACAATTTCGTGGTCCGACGGAAAATGGCTGTACGACTTCCCTTTTGTCGTTGGTATAGGTCGCATCGCCCATCCATCTTTCTGGAATGAAACTCATGGGGTCGCGGAAATTGGATTCTGATGTGTTGGAGCAATAGTGGTTAATTGTAACAACAGTCTAGAGGGAATTTGTTAGTAGACGTGAAATATAATAAGAATACCTCACTGAGGAATCAAGGTTTTCGAAAGATTCACTTACTCCTTGTGGAACATGTTGACCACAGATCATCGCCCCATTCTTGTCGGGAACCCAGCGAGTAAACCCATTAGCAAGAGGAGCATGTATACGCAACGTCTCTTGCACTACAGCTTCCAGATATGGAAGCTTAGATAGCACATCTTGCAGTTTGATATCCTCAATGCTAGCAAAGCTTCCCCGGATCTCTTTTTGAAGCTTCTTGTAGATGTCCGGGTGCGTCAGAATGTGATACACAGCCGCTGTCTCAGCCACTGATGAAGTCTCGCTACCAGCCAGAATAACGACTGTCGCTTGGGCCTCAATTACCTCATTTGAGAGCTGTTCCTTTTTAGCCTGCTTTAAGAAGTAGTGCATAAAATCATGACGATCAGTGTCCGCTCCCATGCGTTTTCGGACACGTTTTAATGAAGCATCGTTATGGTTCACTTGCATTTTTCTCGTAGACTCTGGAATACAAAGAGCAAGCAAACGACTCAGAGGCCAGAATTTATGGCACTGGTGGAGGAGCGTTGCAGCATAGAAATAGTCAATGACGAACTTCACCCAATCGTGATAAACACCACTTTTCACACAGCCCATGTCTTCGCCAAAGCCAAAATCGCTATTTATATCGAACATAGAAAAGGTGAACCATTTTCGAACATCTACTGAATGATTATGGGTGCTTTGCTTCTCAAATTGTTCCATAAGCCGGCCGATGTGCTGTTGCATCATGGGTTCCTGTTCGAGAAGCGAGCGATGCGAGAAAGCACTATTCAATGAACGCCTGATTGGAATAGCTTCTTCGTCACTAGCAAGCGTAATAGTTTCCCTACCAAGCATCATTTCATTGTAGAAGTGTGGGTCTTTTGGGAAGTTTGCTATACCTCCACCATTTGGCTTGTACCCATAGATGTTGCTCCAGGCTTGCGGCTTGATGTAGGAGAGGGTACCGGGGGCGATGCGCACAATGTCACCATATTTGTCGTGCACAGCCTTGAGTCGATATTGACTCGTGCCAAGAAGTGAGAGAACGGCCAGTGGAATATCCGAAGCAATGAGATAAAGCGGTCCGGAGTATGATGCCAATGGGTGAAAGTAAATGTTGTAAGTGAGTTTAACTACGACAAGGAGGGTGATCTGGGTAAGAGATTGATGTTAGAGTTGTAATATTTGCTTGCCTTGCGAAGCCAGCTTCAATATGAAAATCAAATACCGAGGAGAGAAAATACACAGCTATCGCCGTGGGTGTAAGGTCGAGGCGAGACAAAAGTTGGCTGTACTCCATTTCGGAAAGTGAGATATCACGAAACATAGATAAAAGCACAAGGAGAGGAAAAAATGGATGTGTGGATGAATAGGGGGGAGAGAAGAGGGGAATGAAGGAAGAGAGTGAAACGGATGAATTGACCACAACGAGATAGGAGGAAAGTTTCAAAGAAATTGATCAAGCAGCCTGCTAAAAACGATCGTCGCATTCACCTATCCTTAGGTTTTGTCATTTTAATTGGAATCGTCTACGGAGTAAATGTGTGCTGCTCTTCCGCAATCACAGCTAATCCATGGATCGAGTTTTCAACGTGTGCTTACCTGCATGCACTGTATAGTTGAGATGTGCATATGCAATGGCAAAGGGATGATTACTTTCCATATGATGATACCAATCCTGATCCCAAAGACCGAATGTAACTGTATTTCTCAGATAAGACATGAATGCGAATTAACCGAGTCTCTTGAATACTCAAGGTGGGGGATACCGAGGTCCAGATCTGTTCAATCACCCATTCTTGCATTTGAGCCCCCAATTTTGTTTTTCAAAAGGAATGAATGCTCTTGATACAAAAGTTTCCAGGTTTGACGCGAGACGCATCAGCTTACTCCGTCATGTCAAGGGATTTTGCAATAATTTAACCCTATTAGCCTCATGCGAATTCTTCATGAATATTGTTAGGATGTTCACGTGCTTGAACTAGCGGCCGCGAGACACTTAACCTCCACGGCCATGGGCATCAAGATAAAAGAACAAGAAGAAACAAGAACCATCATTTCAACGGATCTTATTCGTGAGGTGATATCAGCGTAGTAGTACTACAGTACCGATCACGTCAGATTCCGCCGGAGCATTACCCGATCTGCCAGCCTTCCCCGAGTGTGAAGAAGGTGATCCACTGTATCGGTCAGTACTAGGCTGTTATCTGAAATCCATCAATGTCTATTTGTACTGGCAAGCATTTTCATTATTACGACGCAAAAAGTTGGTAACATGCAGGTAAGAATTAAATGCCTGGCGATGTAGCACCTGCTAGATGGTCCCTTGAGCCACCGAAGCAGATCAGGATGTCACAATCTGACGAAGCAATATCAAGCCCAATTGCGGGAGTGAATAGATGGTTGGTTGTTTGAAGTTAGTTAGCTGCTTCTATTAGTAGGCAAGATGAAGTCGCCAACCAGGGTACGATAAGCGGCGTAGTACTAGAAATACATGTCTATATATAGATTGACCTCCCCTTCGTACTACCGGTGATTTAAGTAACACTGTGTGAAAAATGAAATCTCTACAAGCCCCCCCGCGAGCAGTCATTTTCGACCTTGGAGATGTCCTCTTCAAGTGGTCAGCCAATACAACAACGACCATTTCACCTCGAAAACTAAAAGAAATACTCTCAACGCCTGTCTGGTACAGCTATGAACGTGGTGAAATCACTCGAAATGTCTGCTACGAGCTGAGTTCTCATCAATTCTCCATCCCGGCGTCTGAGATTGCTGAAGCATTTGCCCAAGCACGTAAATCTCTGCAGCCAGATGAAGCTATCGTTTCATTTCTTCGTAAATTGAGGAACGATCCTGGCATTCGGGTGTATGCCATGTCAAATGTCGGTAAAGAGGATTTTGAGGAACTCGCAACAAACTTAGATTGGCTCCTTTTTGATCAAGTGTTCACCTCAGCGGCGGCAGGAATGAGAAAGCCAGAGCTGGGGTTTTATCGCTATGTCCTGGACCAGATCGGTTTGAGAGGCAATGACGTAGCTTTTGTTGATGACAAGGAGGAAAATGTGCATGCATCGCAAGAATTGGGCATTAGAGGATATGTTTTTGAAGAGTCGACACTCCAAACATTGACCGATTTGTTTGATAGTCCAGTCAGTAAAGGTTGGAGGTATCTATTTCAGAACGGGAACAAATGTGACTCAATCACTGTGAGCGGAATTACTTTCGCGGACAATTTCGCAAAACTACTGATCATGGATGCATTGCAAGATCAGTAAGTCGACAATCTTCGAGCCATGGAAATAAGCGCTGTATAACTCGGTGACTAATACTTGCAATTAGAACTCTCGTAGATCTCAGCTGGGGTTCTAAAGAGACGTGGAATTTTTTTGCCGGTAAGGATACTCTTACACATCAAAACATATCCAGCGGCTAACGCAGATATATCTTCAGGAGAAACAGTACTTGTCCCAGGGGGTTTTTTTCCTGATGATCTTGACACTACGTCACTTGCTCTGACAGTTCTCCGGCCGTTATCGACCCAAACTGTCTCATCAATTCTGGACACTATGGCCGATTATGTCAACGATGACGGTACATTCCAGGTGAGCCATCGGAAATTGATACAATAGAGTAATAGTAGCTGGAACTCATTTACTGAACAACGTAACAGACGTATTTCGACCGTGATAGAAAGCGAGTTGACCCTATTGTTAGCGCGAACATACTTGCTTGCTTTTATTCTTATAATCGCGGCCAAAAGTTCGAAAGTACACTACAGCTTATACGCTCAATGCTTCTGGATCGTTCCTACATACAAGGAACTCGTTATTATCCTTCTCCAGATTGCTGCCTGGGTTTTATTGGACGTTTGCTCCGCTCATCAAATGATCCTCATCTGCAGATGACCTTAGGACCACTCTTGAAGTCACGAGTGCGTGAGCGTCTTGGTCTAGATGGTAACGCATTGGATTTGGCTATGCGTATCATTACTTGCATCCAGATGGGAGTTAAGTGTGAAGAAGATCGCTACGCTTTGCTCAAGTTGCAGTGCGAGGATGGAAGCTGGGAAGCTGGTTGGATGTATCAGTATGGGACGCATGGCATGAAGATTGGGAATTGTGGGGTAACAACAGCAATGGCTGTTGCTGCACTGTCGTGTTAAGATGTGGCCAGTGTACAAGGATACAATCGAGATTATTGAGTACATAGAACTACCTACAAATATACATACAAACATTTGAGGGGTTTATAGTTATTTAAATAAGAAAATGAATTATGAGAACGCACGACGATGTTGACTCATCTGACGAGATGAATCTTTTAAAACGATTTGGCGCAAAAAGTTCTAGGCACCAGAACCCTTTTCGAGAACAAACTTTTGCTCAAAATCCGTGTGTAACATGGTGCAATACTTCGCCTCCTGTGGTCGTTACGTCTGGTTAGGAAGAAGCGAGAGCTCATAATTGAGCAATAACAGCAATAAATTTGCCACACTCAGCTTGATCATAGCAGCTGCATCCCATCGCCCAGGGTAGATAAATCTACTGTTGCCACAAGATATGTTGCCGGGATCAATACTGGTGTAATCCTTCTATGAGTTCGTAGAGCCCATAATTTCCTGACCCGGGCGAAAGAACCGGGAGCCTTGGAAATGCTCGAGATTTTTGTAAAAGAATATGTCACATAATTTGTTGATGAGCCCACTTAGTTGATCCGTCAAATCCGTCGAATTTAATGGATTTCTTGACGGATTCGGCAAACCAAAAGAATTTTTTTTTCAAAAGAACAGATTTTGTATATCCAGACTAACCCTTATTATTGTTATCGAAGATGTATCAAGATAGTGAAATCATGTGCTCAGCCACAGATTTTGAATGCCATTATCGATGTAAACTTATAGCAACCGCCGTCAAAATCAAAGTCCCGGTGTTTATGGTCTCTGGATTTTTATCCTTCCCACTTCTTAACAGACAAATCCAACACGTCGCGGGTTGCTCTCCGGCCAGTATTATCTTTAACAGGTAAGCTATCAAGCCTCAATGTGATGCCAGGAAATGCGGTTCCGTTGGTGGAAAAGAGGTGCAACTCAGGGTTGACAAAAGCTGGGAAGGGAAGCAGAATGATCTTCGCGATTTCGAAATCGCCCCCGCTAATTTGCAGTACATGGGTTCCTATTCCAGAGGATCTTCAGTCATTTTAATGGCTCTATTCTTGTAGCCTATTTATGTAGCAGCACTATTATAGGTAGTCTCATCTTTTGTAACGTTGAACTTTGTCACGATGAGTTTAGCGTCCTCATCACGGCGCGTAAGACAGTTAGTTGCATTGCACTAGATTGCCAAGTCCCTGATATCTTACTTCATCTTATCACAGCCCCCACTCCTCAACTCCTCACCTACACAACATCATTTTTCATGCAGTGAAATATCTTTCCACTACGCACTCAAAACCTTAACCAATTCTAAACTTGATAGTTAAATCTAAATTGAGATTTATCTAGGTACCTACATAGACAAATTCAAGATGAGAGCGCTCAACCATTTGTATTAATAACATGTATCTGTGTTTGTGGAGATATTCCTTCAAGTACAGTAAGCATGTTTTTTTGATTGGACTGTGCGTATGAGGGGGAATCATCGCGTACCTTATAGCATATGGTCATTATATGAGCTTTATTATCCGGCAGGGGTTGTACGCGATTGTAACGCTGCTCTCGACTGCTACTCTCAACTGTAACCCCTCGTATCTTCTGACCCATGAGACGTGTCTATATATCAACATTTGTGGCGTGGGGTTCCTGCTTGAGCATTTGAGGTGAAATTAAAATGTATAATTGGAGTAGGCAGCAGGGTTTGAAGTGTGATGAGGAAATACATTATATGTTTCAATCATTTCTCTTGGTTCGTGTTATTGGACCTTCGGCATTATTATCTACATCTACTTCTTGTATCGCATGGAGTTATATTGCAACACACTCTTACCATTTCAAAAAATCCTGGTTTTACTCCTCTCGTGGTTTTATCTGCTTATTTCCTATTCAGAGAAACCCTTGAGTTCTCACATATAATCTCAAAATGCCCCAGAGTCAACAGCCAATCATATGGGGGTTGGGCATCTCTTTCTCCATCGTTGCTATTGCGGCCGTCGTGCTTCGATTTTGGGCTCGCCGAATCAAAGGCCAAAAATTGGGATCTGATGACTGGACCATTCTGGTAGCTCTGGTAAGATATCCTACCATCTCAACCATCTATGTTATTTTCTAACCAACGGGGAGGTGGTAGATACTCGGGCTTTCTGTAACAATAGATATGCTTATTAGTAAGCCATAATATGAGCCCCTCTGTTCATCAGTGTTCTGACAGGTTGTAACTCATCAGTGACCCAGCTCGGCGGTCTTGGTAGTCACTCAGAATTCAATGCCGATGGAACCCCTCTCAATCCTAAGGCTGCTATAATCCTCGCTAAGGTACGCAACGCTCGCGATCTAGACAAGCTATATGTTATAAGACAACTAAATTTACTTGGACAGACAATATACGCGCTTGAGCTACTTACATGGCCTGCGGTGGGACTGACTAAAATCAGCGTTCTTCTGATGTACAAACGTATTTTTAGCACTCCAAGATTCCAGATAGTGACCTGGATAATGATCGGAGTCAACGTCGCCTGGATCTTAACATTTACATTTGCGCTTATGTGTATGTCTTCTCCTTGACAATGGTTTTTATCTTATACTCAGTTAACATAATAGTCTCGTGCTTGCCAATTGCGGGGCCATGGACGGGGACAGAGTATAAATGTGTCAATCAAGAGATTCTATTTACCGTCGCTTTGGCGACAGATGTCGCCACAGACTGTAAGTCATACTGTGTCTCGACCGAACAAGAAACTCACTCGTGTGCTAGTTTTGGTACTATTCTTACCGGCATATGAAGTTAAGAAGTTACAGATGCCTCTTTCACGAAAGATCCTAATCATAGGCATCTTCTGTCTGGGTGGTTTGGTTAGCATCGTCGGCGTCGTTCGAATTCACTTTTTGACCACAATCTATGCCTTCCTATATTCCAGTCATACCCAGCCGGATATCACATGTATGTTTCTTCTTACAATGAAGCTAAATCGAGGCCAGATCATAGCAAGTTAACATATTGATTAGGGCTCTATGCGCCAACCTACTACTGGACCATCATTGAAACCAATGTCGGTGTCTTAAGCGCATGTCTTCCCACACTCCGTCCAATCCTAGAGCGTGTCACATATAGCCGCCAATTTTCACAACTTACCCATCTTTTCTCCTCATCGAGCACTAAGACAGGCGATATCCGTCTTGGTTCCGTTGAAGACTTAAATTCGAACAAGAGACCCAGTGAAAGGGTCAGCTCCGTGTAAATTGTCATTTCGTTGTTTACAGGTCTTGTTTTTGTATGGGAATTGAACCCACATATCTCATCCTGTAGATGTGACAACATGTTATCTCTAGTAGATTAAAAATAATCAAGTTATACTTTCTGAATATTACAGTCCTCAATAGTGATGAAATGCTCGCCGCACACCAGACAAACAAAGGATAAAATTAAAATAATTTAATTAACTTTGTTATTTATTTCTAATTATTACTATTAAAGATCTATTATAAAGAGAATTCAATTATATCTTAGATATTTACTTAATATATAAATATATAGTCTAGGTATTAATAAACAAAATAGTTATACCTGTATGTCTATCTTAAATATATATATTATATTAACCTAGAGTTATAGTTATAATAAGAAATGAATTAATCACATTTATAGTATAGTTTATCAGATTATTATTAAATTAAAGAGAGCTTGAATATAGTTATACTCTTTATGAGATATAATCATCTTATGAATTAACATTAGCATCAATTAGGCCATATCATCAATTCTACGGAAACTGACTACTTTCAATAATATATATCAGGATGTAATTTTCCTACCTTTCTACCTACTCTTCGGAGTGCGCATTAAACCTTGATCTATGTTGTAGTGCCGTATTCCTCTCAATCAGTCCAGTCAGTACCTACTGGCCACCTTTTACACCAGACAGGGGAACTTCAGATTTCAATTTGAAAACTATCTTTCCTTTGATATCTTTAACAATGCAACAATTCTTACCCAGCCCAGTCTGGTATCGATATGCTACTTATGGGAACCCCCTGAGAGCCAATTGTTCTTCATTCATGAGCATACCCTCTTGTTTTCATTTGCGAAGCCACCATCTTTTGCAACGCATAGCATCCTCTTCATATCAACATGTGCAATTCTAATTAGACTTCCTTCCATATTTCTCCTAACTCTCCCTTTCCATGCAATCTCAATTGTTTGGTGGCGAGCGATATTCCAGATGTGTAGAACCCATTGCGGAGATGCAAAGTCAAGAGACATTGTTTACCAGACGGATTCTTGTAATCATAGTACTAACGTCGGTCTAGTAACCAACGTGGTATAGTACCGTCATGTCAGTCTGTTGTTTCAACGTACATCAACAAGATGGCATGTAATATTCCGATAGCTGAATTAGTTTTCTCGCATTCCTATTCCATTCTTTTCGTCATTGATCCCCATAACCAAGCAATTTCAAGAGACACTGTGTTGAAAATGAAACATTTTCCACCCAGTGCTTCAAATTTCCTGGATTAAAGTCATAATATAATGTAATGTGCCCAATTAATTTCTTTCTTTCAACAATTGCTCTCCAGAGACCTTTCCCAATATCATAATACCTGATGGTATGAGACAGACTGGCCAGCTAGTTCAAAAAGATGTCAGACTGGTAGCATTAATAGCCATCATATAGCAAATCTAAGATGTCTTTTTCTAGGGCTGATACATACCGCCAAGTGACTTGATTCAGTTGAGGTGGTCAGCGCTCTCAGACATTCTAATCCTAGCCCCATTGCTATTTCTTTGTTCTGTCAAACTGTCATTCACCAAAAATAACGATTTTTGTCTCAAACTCCACCAAATGGTACGCCACAGTCTAGCTTTGAGATTCTTCACAACTGTCTTTTAAATTATAAAGCATCAGATTAAAAGACACCTGGGCAACTCTTGTTTCCAGATCTTAAAATGCCCACAACTTCATTAAATTGTGCTCAGATTCCTTTGTATCAATGTTTTGAAATAAAACCAATTGACTTAGAAGAGTTCTGCATCGTGAGTTATGACGCTTGCATTTTTTCTCTTCATGGCATATATATTGCTCAAGACTGCTCTTCATTAGATATATAGACCATCAGTTTCAATATCAATAGCAATACCGGCAACACCAGTAACAACACTCATCGATATAAAGGGCAACCAGAACGATAATCAGTCAATTAAGGATCAAACTTCAAATACAGACCAATAGTAAGTTCAACCAATGCAGGTGTACAACTCTGTCATTTATTTTCTCATATTCCTTTTCAACATCAAGTTAAAAAGTTTTCCTGCTGTAAAACTTGTTGGCATCCTCCCTACATCTGGTCTTTTTCATCCCACTAACTTCAAATTAGCCCGCAATCCACGTGATTTCGCATTCTCGCCAATATTATCCACTTTCTTCAACTGATCCATTAAACCTTAATGTCGTTATCCACAACTACGAAGGGAAACCCATGCCCCTGCTGTAAAAGAAACAACCCGACACTAGCAACGAATTGTGAAGGGTGTACGGGTGTCCTACCAGGTCACAAAACCATCGAACGCATCACTATCAAACACGAAAATGCTCGCAAAGTCGCGACTATAAATCATGAAGAGCGGGTACCGTTATGGACGGATGTATCTGAATCTATTCTGGATCAAAATGGGAATGAGCAGGATAAAATCCCTAGGTGTATGGTGGTTCAGATCGAGGTGTTTGGGGTTAAATGTTTAGTTGTGATTAGTGAAGATCATTTGCGGGGTGTGAATGTCTCTGTTGCACCAGATTTGGTAGCTCTAAGTCTCAAGGAGGATATGAGGATTGCTGATTGGAAACAGTTGAAAGATATAAAAGATGAGTAAGAAGAGGAAGGGGAGATATGAGAGAGATATGGGAGAGATATGGGAGAGATATGGGAGAGATATGGGAGAGATATGGGAGAGATATGGGAGAGATATGGGAGAGATATGGGAGAGATATGGGAGAGATATGGGAGAGATATGGGAGAGATATGGGAGAGATATGGGAGAGATATAGGAGAGATATGGGAGAGATGTGGGAGAGATATGGAAGAGATGCGGGAGGGAAGAGATGAAAGGATAAGGGAGAGAGAATGTATTGAGAATGTGTTGTCAAATTGAATTAAATGTAGTGCACGTTGTTTTAAATGTTACATACAATACAGTTAACTATATAAATTGCTTTATTAACCCAACAAACCTGCTGATCTCAGTGTACTTTCTGAGGGAGATGAGGGAATACTGAAAACTTTTATTTCTTGGTAGTATAGAAAAATTCGCAGGTTGTATTAATCATTTTAACGCCAATTAATCTTAAATTATCTTCAATCTTTAACCATTTCCTTTTCCTTTTCCTTTTCCTCCAAGCTTAACTTTTTCAAAGCCGCTAAAGCCGCAGCCTCTTTCTCAGCAGATTCTTTCTTCCGTAGCTCACGATAATAAACGGTTGATTTGAATCCGTCATCATACTCTTTCACGTAGCGACGATAATTGGTACATTTCATATAAGCGTTTGTATCGTAAAACTTCGGCGGTTCGACTTCTCTGGGATAGTATTCCTTGAAGAAATTCTTGAAAGTCCTGGCAAATTGGACTTCTTTATCTGGCCATGGCCCAATTTGCAATTTCCATTCCTCTTCAAAATAATGGGACCATAAGGGCGGTAATTGCAGACGAGTCGCTACTGGCTCCCACCATTCTGGCAAATACCCCCCATGTTCCCAATCGATGATACCGGTGACATGTCCATCTTTTACCATGATGTTACTCGCATCCAAATCTCCATGTGTGAGCACATATGGTCCTTTGACAGGATATTCATCCCTGATGACATCTTCCCACCGTGCAATTTGTTCCTTTGACAACCGAAGCTTGGCACGAGTCCACCATTCCTCAACATCATCCGTCACGTACTGTATCCTCTGATCAGAACCTATCAACCTATCTCTTACCATCGAACCGTCTGGAGCTTCTATTTTTGGTGATGTAAACTTGCGCACCTCTATAAGATACTTGACGACTTCTTTGGCAATGACTCTTTTCTCAGCCTTGGTCATGCTATTCCCAGCATTCATTAGCGTGTCGCCCGGGACCCTCTCGGCCAGCGAGAAATGACTTTGACTGTCCTTCCAATGGTGTATATATTTTGCTACAGGTACAGTAGAGTTTTCGGTCAAAAATTTGGAGATCGAAACATCAGGGCCCAAATAGCTAGCTCGCCCCGCCTCCATAATGTTTCTTTCTTTCAAGACATAGTCATCGCCAATATACCAAACGCCCCTGCTACCACCATTGCACATGCACTTGATGCTACTAACGTACGCGTAATGCACCTGATGATATACGCTCCATCCACAGTTGTGGCATAACAAAAAGTCTTCCTCATTAGGCAGGTGCGCGTCAAACTCTTCTTTCGTGTTCCCCTCGAATGGCTCGTAAATCGTCAATGGCTTTGACATTGTATTTGAATAAATTTGAGCTTTGGATATTCAGAGTTGATTTTGGCGTCGAGATTGAAGATGAAGGCTGAATAATTGGTAATACGAGGCAGTGAAGCAGATCCAGAAAATTTGCGGAAGGAATGGATTGATTTGAGATGTTGGTCGGATTCTGATTTCTGATAATGGCACATAAATAGGCATTTGAGAACAAGAAATAAAACTCAATGATAAAGAGGGGTTTGGCGAACATTCCGATCAAAAACTATACTAGATTTGGAATATCTTTGTTGATGACTTTCTTTATTAAACACAGCAAAAATTATACTAAAGAAAAGAAATGTATTATTGAAGACGTACTAAATAAAATATAAGAAGGATTAAGACTAGATCTATAGTATAACCTGAGAATCTTTTATCATGGTTTTCTTTATCATAGAAACGGAGAATCCCGTGCATTCTCAGTTTATCATGGTTTTCTTTAACATTATCATAGATATAAAGAATCCCGTACAACAAAAGAAATACTTTCTAACCACTCGACTCCAGGTTCTGACTATACTAAACATAGACGCGCTTGATAACGATTATCTAGATCAAGGAACAAGACGTGGGAAGCAATGTTAATCAATGAAACTCAAATGTTGTATCAGTTGATCATTCAATTCCTGGACAGATATGTGCCAATCAATTTTCCAAGACACTTGACACTCCAAGGAAGATCTAACAAAGACTTATGGAATTGAGATTAGTACACACTCAGGCGAGTTGTGGGGTAAATTCCAGAGATTAATGGATTATGAGAGGCGGAAGACCAATAAGAGTAATGATTAATGATTGGAATTCGGTGTAGAGAAGATTTCGAGTGTGTTCAACAAGTGAATGCACGAGTTGAGAGAACACTTCGGCCTCCACCTTCACACCGACCATTATCAAGCGCAAAACATAGGCTTCAAAATAAGCGATCGATCAATCGATCAAATAAACACATTCTAATATTGATAACCATTCACGGAAATACCTGACTCCAGTCAATTCCAATGCAGGCTACGGAAAATGCCTTCAATTGTTTATATGTATTAACATAGTATAGAAGGCTTCAGAAAAAGCGGCTATAGGCACAACTTATGCTACTCTAAGAATGAGCCTCGATGAGAGTATATAAAGTCTCTCTTACTTCTGAATAGCTTCAACTGAGAGTCAACAAATAGTAAGATCTTACAACCATAATAAGCATATCATAAAGACTTCATACTTAACAGAGTCAGACCAGAGGCTTTTCTTCCCGTCATACATTATGCCCTCTCCGCTAGTACAATCAATCAAAATACACGTACTATTCGAGCTTGACGTGAAAATTCTTGTCGTGTTACTATTACAAATAAACATTGAAAGGGTGTTGAGCAAACAGTCCTCTCTACTCCCCTTTCACAAGCGCAAATTAACGACGCAAGCTCTACCTCACGCAACGATGGACAATGAACGATATAAAGAAAAATGAAACCTGCTTTGATATTTATATTGCCTCAACTCAACTACTTCAACTCTCGATCGATCATTTTGTTTGATTGTGTGTCATTTTTGTTTCCAATTCCTTGCTTACCTGTCGTTTCCGAGCATTTTCCCTCGGAAAAAGTGGACGGCTCTAATGCATTTGATATAAAGGTACTTGATGAATATACAGAAAATTATCCCCCTGGACCCCGCGCACATTGAAGCCTTACCTTGGGAAATATTTCCACACACAAGTCTCGTTTTTCATTTTACAATTTCTAGAAAACTATAAGAAACTAGAAGTGTATAGAGATCTATCAGTCTCGGTCCTAAGCAGATGACAATACATCAAACGAAGTCAATTCCGGGACAAGAAGAGCTGGCTTCGCAACATATCAACGGATATGAGAAGGGGGCTTTGGATCAAACTACAGCGATCATGATAGATTTTCCAGCAGGGGGTCTCATTTTCAGTAGTACAAAGAATGCTATCAATGAACAAGCTTCGTCCAAAAGGGAGAGCCCCAGTGATCTTTCTTTATCAGTCAGGAAAAGCTAGTAAGATCTAACAATCAAGTCTGCAGAAAAGTAGATTGATACTGGAACTTAGAGCGAACTCATTCTAAGTAACAAGAAATCACGTCCACGATCCCACGCAGGACAAGTCTATTCAGGAACTTTCTTCTCCTCTGGCCTCGATCCAGATTATACACACACGCGACTCTCCCTTATGCGTATCTTTTTGAACCACCCCGAAAACCCTATCTCGACCACAAATGTAAGGGAAACAAGCAACAAAGAAAAAAGTCCATATGGGGTAGAATCGAATGCCTAGCTAGCTGACGACGGGATTATGCTAACATCCCAAGAGGAAAAAAGTAACGAGAAGAAAGAAAAGACGGCGCAAAAACTTTCTGCTCGGGAGCAAGCTTTCTGCCTTGGAGCAAAAAAGTTGAGACTCCATGTATTTACAATCTTGTAGAGAATCAATCGAAGTGATTCGAATTAATTTTCAATTGAAATTGGACTACTGTGACCCAGAAGCCGTTCCATGTGAAAACTTCCTGTTCCTGAATCGTGGTAGATTTCATATCGTGTAAGCATCGTTCTCTTATGTTTAGATATGGATAGAAAGGAATAATTCCTCACACATAACATAAGTGATACGCATCGAACAAGTTGGCTCAGATTGAATGATATACAGGTTTCATGCAGATCAGCAACATTGTCATGAACTCACGACTTCTTTAAACTTTATTTATTCTTTCTTTCTTCTCTCCCTGATTGCCGTTGCTAATTGCGATGTTTGCCAAGCGTGAAATTCAGAGATTCGTCCTTCATCAAGCATATAACTCTTGACCAAAATCATCCTGCGCCGTAAAGACATGCTAATAACGCCCATTGTGCCTCTTTTCCACAATCAAATGCCCCCACTGCCAGGTTCCAAACACCATTATCCAATCAACCTTTATATAGAACAAAAGAAATAAGCTAGCGCCCGAGCTCAATTCAGCTCTCTCTCTCGTTATCTGTGTTGAAATCTTCCGCTACAACTGTCTCATCATCTTTATATTCTTTGTATTCCGATTCCTGCGCACATTTCTCATCGAATACAGATTCGTGCTGATAGAACTCTCTCGGCTTCTTAACAATAAAAGCATACGTCTCATCATCTTCCAAAAAGATTTCCCCTCTTCTCGAAGTTCGATTTCTATGCTCTTATTAGCCGAAGTCCAAATCTAACAAAGTAAAATAAATAAACTTACCCAAACCTCTCTACAGACTCCAATACACAGACCACAAGTAAGAAAACCACCACAATTCCCACAACCAAAAAATCATTTCTTCGTCCCATCTCCAAATGCGCCAATCGCGTTCTATATCCTGCCGCAGTCCCGGGCCACGAATTGGAATTTCCACATCCTGGTTTCTCTCCATTGATAGCCAACCGTCCGTTTTCTCCCTCCCAGTATTTCCTCGAATCTTCTTTGCGCAATTTAGGTAATGCGGAAGTGGGCATACTTGGTCTCGCTTCATCCTCGTCACTCGTCCTTGTCAAACTTTGAAGATATGCCGAACTGAGTGGTGTTTCTGCAGAAAGGGCCTCATCTGCGGAGATCTCTTTGGAAGGAGTCGTTGGCGCATTGTCGAAAGCACCTTCTTCTGCAAAATACTCATCGTCCGAAGGGGAAGTAGTTGTTGGTTTAACAAAAGTCGGGATAGGTAGTTTTTGATGTTTTGGGAAATGTGGATCGCGGGGATCGCTGGGTTTGGGGTGGGAGAGCGAAAGAGTATCTTTGACTGAGTGGAGTGAGTTGCAAGATTGAGAGTTGAAACATTCTCGAGACACTGGGAATGCAGTTGAAAGTTGGAGGAAGAGGAGGAGCGAGAGCGGTGATGATGGTCGCATCTTTGCGATTAATATGAATAGAATTATTACGATGTGAATTATTGACCAGACTTTTGAATGAAGAGGTGAGGCAGGTATATAGGTTTAAAAGTCGTATGGAATAAAACGTCGATCGTCGTGAATGGCAAGTGATTCCGATGTTTCAAGACGCTTTAGTAGTCTGCCACACCCGAGACGTTTGGAATGCCGCAAACGTGAGTAGATCAATCTTCAATCTTTCCGAACACAGCTTAATCCAATCGATCAATACTTAGGTGAGGTATGAAAATGCAAAGGCTGGAGCAAGAAATCAAGATTGGAAATAAAAGTCGATAGAGTGAATGTAAAGAAGTGGTGGGAGTTATACAGGAGTGAGGTAGGGAAACTCTCGTATTTAGATCAAAGAATGGCGTACCACGCAGGTGGTGTGGTGTGTTGTAGCCAATCATTTCTTCACACTTGGGCAAAAACAATAGTTGCAACACAAACATGCATTAGTATTTTCGGGACTCTACACAAGGGACTAGAGTTGCATGGGGCAATTCCATCCACGGCATGTTTCTAAAATGCTAATTTGGTAGAAATCCTTCCAAACTCAAAATTCCATATTGGGGTGTTGGCAAAGAAAAAGCTTCAGCCCCTCAGGGTCCTTGCGCGATTTTCATGGGTAATTCCTAGGGTAAATGGCATCCACGTCGAGCCACGATGGTTAATACTATTAACTTAATAGTTTATTAGTTAAGGTTACATGGGCTGATGGGGCCGAGGGGGCGTGATTCGTGAATGATTTTGGCTCTTTGGATTGTTCGAGACGGGGTGGTGAGATGTGGGCTGGGTTTTTTCCGGCTTGATAGAATGAGAGATGAGGGTATAAGCCTCGTGGCTTTGCACGGGACAAAGTAGACAGCAAGACAAGCAAGATGCGTTCCTCAAACAAATGACGATATACTTACATACCTACCTATGCATCCCATTTTGGTTCTTTGTTGGTTTCATCCATGCGATCCCATCCCTCCATGTGGCTCGACCTCTCGCACGATAAACTGGAGCCTGGCCTGGAAACAAAACGTGAATTGAGTGATATACAGCGCTACTCGTAACTAACATATTACCAAGACAAGATCACGGAAAGGTGGAGATTTGCATGATTAGTGGGATTTTCGATTATGGGGGAGACCGCGAGACCTTTTATAGTTCTTCCTCTTCCACTTTTCTTCGTATCCTATCAGTGCGTGTGCGTCCACAGAAATCCTTGGGTGGAGGTCACTGCTTGAACACCGAAGAGGAGGGACTAGGAGCTCCCTGGATAGGCTCGTAAGTACCTGCCAACTACAAGTAATACTAAGATATGATCATGGCGCCCCCACACAACTTGGGATGACTTGAACCTTTGATCAAACAATTTGGGGGGGAATGTTGTTGATATAATACAAAACAATGTTTTGTGAAAAGTTACGAATGTCTTGTTCTCGTAGACATGCATACTTGTGTACTTGACTTGGCATACTACTCTGATAGCGAAATGTGCAAGTAACTGCATCTTGTGACTTCCATGATCCATCACAATATACCGGCTTGAAATTGTATCATGTGGTGCTATACGGGTTGACTATTGGTCGCTCAATCAGAGTCTCAAAGAGTGTCATCGTCAATTCATTATACGAAGTGAAGTGTCGAAAAACTCTTGTTTTCCCCTCAATTGAAAAGAATTTTCTATCCCGAGGTTGCTAATGCAATTCTAGTCCTGCTTATGCCATGAGGATGTTTAAACGAGCTATTCTTGTCGATGAAGGGGTAGCTCCCTTAATTTACCGGTGTCTTGGCATTTGGGCGTAGCAAAGGATAATAACAACTCAATGCAATTGAGGGATTATTCTGCGCTACCTACTCTGTATACACTTTCACTTGATTAATCCATCTACTCAATGCTTCTGTCGGAAGATTAATATTTGACCAAGCAGAGTTTGCTGTGAATATATCTTAAGATTCAATGGCAAATGATAAATGGTCTCCATAACCTTTTGTTCGTCATAGTCAAACGATCGTCAGGTACACATAGTAAATCTATCCGGAATCCCTGTAGCTCTTGTGTTTTGAAGATAAGAGCTCCGGCATCTACTCATCATACATCCATCCATCGTACACCGTAACCGTGTACCGGTAGTGTACCAAAATCCCTGCAAAACTCATGTCTCTCCGACAAACTATGAACATTACTAAGGTTCGTTAGTATGGTTCAGATCGCAGGCTGCATTCTGAACTATGGAGTACGGGAGATCATTTCATATGGACCATGGGAGAACACTGAAATGATTAGAATTCGACACTTTATTCAAAGTTCATCTTGCAACCTTCTCTCGGCTACCTCTACGGGGTCGCAGTCAGCAAGACCACTAGTCCCCAATCCTTAACTTTCACCATGAATCCTTCTGGAATAATGATGGAAGGTTATTTCCGCCTTTGTCTGGCCTCGGGAGAACAGCTACATTTTGATACTACCCTTTATGTCCTACTATCATTTATGAGATGATTCAAGGGTAGGGATGGGCAAATTACATATTCTTAGGGTTGATTATATAATTTTATATTATTATACTTTTTGAGGAATATAAAATATTATACTAAGCTTATATATGTGTTTTTTGGACTAATAAAATCATCAGGATAAATAAAAGTGGGTCGTTTTTAGAAAAAGTTTTTGATGGGTTGTAATTTTCAATTTAGTGTATAATTAGATCTAAAAGTCAGGTACTATTTATTTATTAATTATATAATTTATATACAAATTATTTTCTTTCAAACTAGTTCCAAAATAGCTTCAAAATAGCCTTTAATAGGATTTTTATAGGATTTTATAGGATTTTATAGGATTTTATAGGATTTTATAGGATTTTATAATTAGTTATATATATAATACGATTTGACTAATATTACGTATTATATTCAACTAACGAATATACGATATTATATAAGTCGATTACTCTACTTTCGGGCCACTTCTGTTTTGAACTACTTTTCAACTACTTTTCACACCAAAAATGGAATTTCTAACTTTCTTATTTATAAATAGAATTCATTAAAATTTATATATATATAATTCAGATCGTTCTAAACTTATTCTGAAATTTTCAGATTTTTAGGATTTTTCTGTATCGAGATCTAGAGCTTCAAAATATCGATTTTTTGATTTGTATAAGAATTATATATAAATTTGAAAATTTTATAAAATCTTTAATAACTTTTTAATAAATTTTTTTTAAGAATAAACTGTAAAGTTTTATTATAAATTTATAATATATTTTATTTAAGAGATTCAAAAGAAATAGAAAATCTCCTATAAATAAATATTTATAGGGGTATCCTTAAAATGATAGAGATTATTTATATTACTTTAAACTTATTATATATTATATTTCTATATCTGTTAATTTTTTCGAATTTTTTTTTGGATTTCTATATAGATTCAAGTTTAAATATCTCAAAAATATATATGGTTTTCTTTTAATAATTGTTGTTAAAAAGTTATTAAAGATTTTACAAAAAAATGAAATTTGTATATGATTCTTATATAAATTTAAAAATCGATATTTTAAAGCTTTAGTTTTCAATACAGAAAAATCTTGAAAATCTAAAATTTTTAGAATAAGTTAAAATCTATTTAAATTATATATATACAAATTTTTATTAAATTAAATTATATATTGGTGAAGATATTAATAGGCCTAAAAAGTGATTTTTGGTGTAAAAGGGTGGCTCAAAACAGGGGTGGCCCGAAAGTAGGGTAACCGACTTATCATCAAAAATCCCAACCCTATTCAAGGGACAGAGCGGCATCCCTGGAAGTTCGTCTAATGAACGGCCATTCCAGCGCTTCTTGAAACTTTTTATCTGTTGCCTTCGGTGAAATACAAATAAGCGCTGATACATTCATTGCTCATCAAACGAGGTCCCCAAAAAGGAATCGTTCAAGATGAATAGGACCGAAAACCCGAGAAAGGTGCAGAGAAGCAAACGTGATCGATATCAATATGTTTACTCTACATGCATACGTGACAATGTTTCATGAAAATGTAGCACTGCATCGTTGCTTATACAATGTAAGCTTTCGATCGTTGACTTGGCCCTGCAAGGTTTCTCTGTGTGGAGTAGGATGAGAATTAGAAATATGCTGATTCTGAAGGATCTTTCTGACACGGAGGAGATGAGATGGTAATCAGATGAATCCTTTGCCATGATTTGGTTATGGAAGTTCTAATAATAGGAAACAGGATACTTCTAAAGCAACATAACGCTCAGTACCTAGTCAGCCATGTTGATAAACGAAGAGAGGGATGTGTGTATCTTTATTCATTCACAGGAAGTGAAGGAAGGATACCTACCTGTAGGAATGAATAGATTGGTAGGAACCAAGATCTTCTATTCTAATTGACTAACAAGAAGTTAATTGAATCTAATTCCGCACAAGCAGCTCCATCACAATCTCAACCAATCAAAGTTTAAATCGGTTAATATTCGATATTTTTAGGAAAAGAGAAGAAAATCATTCATTCACCCACCCATCCATCCACCTTACTCGTGCGGCCAGAAAGTATGCAACTCTGGTGCTATGAAAACCAGATTAGTCCTCTTGTAGTTTACCATCTTATAGTATATACATCTAACATCAGAATTGCATACTTTCTGGCAGTACGAATAGATACTTAATAAGGTTCCGGGTTACCTCCACATCAATAATTTATCAGTAATTTGAGACATGCAACAAAATACAGTTATGATCATGTGAATCATATTCATATCATGCGTTTTTAGGTAAGCACGCTGCTCATCATCTACAACGGTGGCCGGAACTGACCTTGATAGCATCCCAAAACATCCTCAAGGCTGACAATTTGTTAACCAGATATCAACTTTGAAATGTTACAGCCTTCTCAATTATGGTGCCTCCACTGGTACCTCAATCTGCTCCCCCCTTAAATCGAAGTTCGACAGCACCCAATATCGCATCTGCTCGAACTATACCTTATGAAAGGTCACATCTTGCACCAGAAGATGCTATATCTCAAGCTTCACCACCTCGGAGACCATCGGCCGCTCTCAACCAATTGCGCATGACAAATGGGGATGCTGGACGATTAAGAAGTAGAGGAAGACATACCGATAGAACGAAAAGCAGTACCAGAAGACGGAAAGCTACTTGGAAAAAGCTGCTATGGGTGAAACAATCATGTATGGCATACTTCAATTCAGCAGATGATAAACAATACTGATCGATCGATACAGATCCAGACAATTACACGGATCAGGATACCTTTCTCGAACATCTGCAAAGAAACCCACGTCTCCAGCCTTATGATTTTTGGCCATTGGTAGCAGACTCCACGGTCATAGTACAACACGTTTGTTCTGTCATAATATTCATTGTTTCTTTCGTGGGGATATATGATAAACATGTCTCTCCGGTTTCTGTGGTTGGCTGGGGCTCTATCGCTACCTTTTTAGGCTGGGTATTATGGGATTTATGGGTGGGACAGGAAGAAAGTACTCGACCGGCATTTCCACCGCCGCAGCCTTTCTCTCACACTGTATCTGCAACAAGTTCAACGCCGAATTTATTGGCAACAGCTGCAAATGGGCCAAAGCACCCCCATTCGATATCAACAACATCTCTTCAATCTACCACCTCCAATTTAACTCAACCACCTCCAGCACGACCGGTTTATACACCACATAATTCACGCCTCTCTCATCGTACATCGCTCCGTCTTTCAACTGCTAAATCAGCCCTTCTAATTTACTTTACCCTCCTCGGCCTTTCTCCCATTCTCAAATCTCTCACCAGGTCCACTTCTTCAGACTCGATCTGGGCAATGTCATTCCTCCTCTTTACGATCAATATATTTTTCTTCGACTATGCTACCCCATCTCCTTCATCTTCGTCTGGCTATCCACCATCAAACACGAAGAACAAAAACATTCCCGCAAGTTTAAGTACAAATGCGGCTCTAATGGCCTCCACCGTACTAGCTTCACGTCTTCCCAGTACCGGACAAGTCTTTAGTCTTACACTCTTCTCCATTGAAGTTTTTGGTCTTTTTCCTGTTTTCCGTCGTTACACTCGCTTACATTCTTTACGTGGTCATCTAATACTGACTCTATTACTCGTCTTTGGTGCCGGAGGTGGCGTAGGATTGGTATTGCCACAGTCAGGGAGATCAGCCTGGGATTGGAAAAGCGGATTGATTGGTGTGGTTTTGGGGACGCTAATCACAGGATTAGCTATGGGCGGATGTAGTTGGTGGTTGATAGGATTGCAGAAATATAAAAATGAAATCCACGGGCCGTGGGATCCAGCGAGGCCTGTCATTAGAAGGGCTTGGGATGATTATTAAATAAACAAGAAGATAATATAATTCGTAGAGCTCGCATCATGCGAGTTTTTTATCCAGCCCGTATAGTCTAGTAGAAGCACTGGTGATGTTTCTGGAACCGGATAAATTGAACTGTTGCATCCCGAAAGCCTTGACCCCTCGCCTGCTTTGCCCCCTTTCATTCGATGCTACTCTAGCGAGATCGATCCAAACATGAGACACGCCACAGTAGATTACTTGCTCGCCTATTCATAAACTCGGCTCTCGAACTGCCACTCTCTCAAACGTGCATTCATAATGCCACTCTTGAGTAGAGTAACATTTCGAAACGCACCTTCGGCCAGCGATTTGAAGTAGATTTCTCATCATCCCCTCTCGAAACAGTCCGGCTTGGAAGGATTTAACTTAGGCGCTGTATACCAGACGGTATTTTATCGAGGACATTTTTGCTACCGAGTGTTTTGACTCTTTGGCTCTTCTGAGGGCTTTCGCATAATGAGGTTATATGAGGTTTTTCTGGAATGTTTAGAGTTTTGAGATGAGGAGTTCAATTTTGGATTGGATAAGGTAGTAGTTGAGACTTAATGATGAGCGTCTCGCTTCTTTGTGAGAATTTCTTCTTCGGATTTTTTTAGGGGGGGAGGGGCGTACCATCGACCCTTCCTTTCGTGATACCGACTTTATATCATGACAATTTTCGCCCTGTTGCATTGGCTTCCTCTTTCCTTTTGTGTTAAACTTCTTCCTCTTGTTTTTGTGTCGGTCTCGTTCACTAATTAGCTTCGGATCCCCAAACCCCCTCCTCTTCCTTGGTATTCACAATTCCACAACATCGATATTTCGAAGTTCAGTTTACCACTTATATTCATATGTCTAGCATTGTTTCTTCTCGCTAACATCATTACAATCATTATGAAAATCCCCAATTCCCTCTATACTTGCGCTTTCTGTTGCAAATTCAATTTGTCAATAAAGCACTGTGGATCCTGCCTGTCCATCCTTTATTGCTCCAGGGAGTGTCAACGATTGGACTGGTCTTTTCACAAAGGTTTTTGTAAAGCTTTTACGTCCCTTGGTCCACGCCCTTCAGATGGTCATAGCCTCGCATTCTATTTTCCGGTTGATCTTGATCCCAGACTGGAATGGGTTCGGCGTCCAGATTTTCTGCATCCAAAGGCCAATAATAGAAGATTTGGTTTTCGGTCGATGGGTTTCATGGAATCAAAGGTTTGATGACCTCATGCAGTGGTCGAATTGATATTTTGCTGATTTTCAAGAACTAGCCGACGTCACAATGGCCGTATATTCTTTGTCGAGGAGGCTGCCGAGACGATAATCTCAAGCTCAACCATAGCGTTATATCTTTCACGAGGGGAGCCTATTGGACTGGACCTTTGGTTGTTTTCCGGACAGGGAGGCCTGATATTGGCTCAGAAGTTACACGTGATATTTTATTGGATGACCTCCCCAGAGTCATACGATGGTTAAGACAGATTTCCAATGGAAGTCGAGTAATGAAGCCCCAAGTCTTTAAGTCAAGTTTCAATACTTCGAAATGTGTAATTCTTAGATGCAAGGGTGATTATATGAATGCTCCAGAAGAAACTCAACTTGTGGCCTCCAAAGTCCCAGAATTGCACCCGATTTTCGAGGGGCAGCCCACAAATCTTTCGCAATTGATGGGAATTCCGTTGATAATACAAAAAATACCTCGAGAGGCTGGGAGAGATGTTGCATTCGACAAAGATTACTTGAGCAATTATTATTGTGGTATCCTTCACCTTGATACTCTTCCTCATAGTGAGACGTGGGGTGAAATACCTTCACAATGGCATGAGAATGTGGGGACTGTTCTGGTCGCGAGACAGGACAAAAAAGACATCACCACGCTTCAACTATTGGCGATTATGTCATTCATCAAGCTATTGGATCTTAGAGAAGTAGAAGACGAACCCGATGTTAAAACAAAACAGAAATTTCTTGAGGGGCACTTCACCAGGATGAAGTTCGAACAATTTTTCTTCGGTCGCTTTGCAGCTGCTTCTGATAAGATCCCGCATCTAGACGGAGACCTGATATCTCCTTATAGCAACTCATATGATTCAATAGGCATATCACAGAACACTTCACTAGTAGATAGGGCGCTGGACCTGTGGAACAGAACTGGACTGAGAGCAAGTTATTTGCTCGATGATTGAGATATATGTGTATAAATTATCGGGCCAAGAAATGTCGTGATATAGCAGTTTGGAAATTGTTGTCGCAGATGTTGTTGTCGCAGATGATGTCGTTGATTGATTGAATAAGGGTATGACTGGAGCGTTATTTGGACTTGCTTGCTTTCTACACATGGAGATATCAGCATGACCTCGAGCTAAAAATCCATCAGATTTCTATTTCAGAGCGAATAAAATTAGCGTTAAATTTGGAATCTTGAGCAGTATCATGAGCACGAGATTACTCCTTGAGCTTTCTCCTTAATGTATCAAATAATGATGCCTTGCATTTTATATTCACTTTTTTGAGTTTGACTCCTCATCTGTGCCGTGATTGCTGTTCTGATCACGAGAGAAGCGAGATTGTACTGGCGATTGTACTACAGAATTTTCTACGGCTGACAGTGTATAACCTAAATTGCCGAGACTACCTAGTACAGTAACCATTACTTGAAAGATCATTTGAATTCATTTAGATATAAAAGCTTGACAAGATCATTCTCCTACAGTCAATTTGAAACTTCTATTACTCCCCTCAGTTGATCACGTCACCTGCTCCTCCTGGTGCTCGTTAAACCATCATTCCTGTAATTAGTAAGTTTCGCCGGCCCATTCACAAAGAATAGTCTAGAATTTATTTCTATTACCGAACCAATACTTCACTACTTAATCCAATTCACTCTTCATACGAGTAGCAATCAGTTCGTGTACTTATTAACTCCTACTGACCCTTGCACCGCTTTAGACATTTTTTCTTTCTTTCTCTATCAGACCTCTACAATTCTTCTTATAAGTTACTAAACGATCAGCCCCATGCCATCACGTCGAGATCCGACTCTGGGCCCGCGGGTCTCAATTTCCTCCTTCGGTCCTACCATCGAACACCCCAAATGCGGATACTGTACAAAAGATGCTTCAATTCCATGTACAACTTGTAATGCTACCTGGTATTGTACAGTAGCCTGCCAGAGAGTCGATCGCGATGTTCATGACATTATCTGCCAGAAATTCGCAGATTTTGTTGCGGCGCACCCGTGTCCCGATGATACTGCTGAGAAAAAATACAGACTTGGTCTCCTATTGCCAGTCGATTCGGAGGACTTTGAATTGGCATGGATTGCCAATGGTTCTAATGGAAAGTCGGTTGCAACATTTCTTCAATATTACGACCAAGATCGGATCAACACTCGCAGCACTCTTGTGGATTACAATATGGCAAGCAAGAAGTTTGATCATTCCATTATTTTGGCTGTCCGAGGAGACTTTCTCACTGATAACTCTCCACCGAATGCTTGCATCAACCATATCATGGATGGGAATATGAAGTTCGCCTTTAAGGGTCCAGTTGCTGTTGTTAGAGAGCGTGGTTGGGGCTCAGTTGGAAGTGCCCAGCATTTTCAGCCATACGATTTTCGGATTCTAATCGATTTTCTCTTCAACTATGAAGGAAAGCCAAATACTAATATCGGTCATGGTTGTGGCGAGGAACCGAGGAATATTTTGGGCACGTCAGTGAGCCGCGTTTTAAAATTTCTGAAGGGGAAAGCTCAAGATGGAAAGAGAAAGTCTAAGAATGCTCCTCTCGGCGGCGAAGAACGTAGAACCTACAGAAAGCGCGCCGAAACATTTGCTGAACCAGACTGGATGAGAAACTCGGAAACTTTTCTTCCGAGACACAAAATGCAGCGCTCAAAATCGAGTATCAATCTTGGTAGTTTCAGAGACGATGTTTCTTCGCTACATGAGGCTGAATCATTTGTCATGCCAGATTTTCTGCCAGATTGGATTAGGGAGTCGGTTTCAATTGCCGCCGGATCTAGGGTGCATTCCGAGATAGCTCCATCTCTTTCTATCAATACAGAGAAGGCTTTCGAGGAATCTGATAGTATTTTCAGTACGACAATTACTCCAATATCGCCAGTCACCTCGATTGCGGCGACTACTAAGCAAGCTCGTCGTAAAGACAATGTATCTGTTAGAGGATCTCTTGATATTTTCGACCTCTACAACTTGAATAGAAATAGAGGTAACCATGACGACTCCGCATCTCTTCTATCGAGCGGACCAAACTCATCCATCCTAACCACCACTTCGTTCTTTCAGCCCAAAACAGTCCTTCAACTCAGACCAACAATTGGGAAAGTGAAAGATTCCTCGACATTAAACAGAAGATCATCGTTCTTCAGTCGTCCAAAATCTAAAAGTGTCGAGCTAAACCGCGATCATATGGTACTTAAACGAAGTATGACCGGCTCGATCATGTCGCCATGGACAGTGTAATGAGTGCTCTTGATACAGATATACGTTTTTACACAAATTTATTTTTAGAAGTTCCGAGCAAGGTCGACATGTCGATGAGGTAGAAACATATATAGGAGATGATTTGATTCTGGAGTTGGGTTAGAAAGTTGTAATCAGACAGGCGTGGGGGGGTTGGTATGGGTACACGACGGGCAAGCACAGGGATGCAAGTGTGGGTTTTGATACTTTCGATGCTTTTTTTGGATACTGTTGGATGCTTTTTGCGCTGGCACGTGATGGGAGTGATGGGAGTGATGGGAGTGTTAGGTGGTTCGATTATAATTTGCAATTTAGATACTTTACTTAGTAGTTGGTGGTACAATGCAGTTTCATGCACATTTAAGATACTCCATTCATTTACGTGTGGTTTAAGTTTGTCGGTTACTTAACCTTAGCCGATCGCATTGATGTATCTAATGTGCTTGGCGTTTACTCAAAATTTCTGTTGCCGTGCTTACTTTTTCATTTCTCCATTCCCGAACCATTCAAATGTTTAGCAAACACATCTTTGGGCGATGGGTTATTATTTATTCTATTCTTCTTGCATCGGCGAAAGTAGGTAATAACCTTGTGACGATTGCTTAACCCCTGTTTTCCCCCAACGTCGCTACGAATGCCAATGATCTTTTTTGGTAAACCCAAGGATCAATTTTCAACCGTTTACATAAGTGCACAGAGTATAGAAAATGAGTTTTGTCGCTTGCGGACTGGTCGATAGGAGAAAGTTTGAAAGCACGTGATTGTAATATCAGCCGCACTAAAGATCTTTCTCTCACCTTTGAACTGAGATAGTCAAGACTAGGCAGGTGGATATGGTGAATTTTAAGACCATCGTGGAAACAGCCTTCAATGTGTGATCTCCTTCAAATTTGATATTTCCGAGTAGATATAAGAGCTTCTGATTTTCACCTCGACTTGTACCTTGACTTCTATCCCGACTTACACCTCAGCTTCCACTTCAAACTTTCAACGATATAATTGAAAGGGATTCGAATACAGTTGACAACCTTTCGAGTTCTTATATCGACTCTACCAAGACAAGATATAGATTTATTCAACCATGTCTCAAGTATTCGGTCCCATCCCTCCTCCTCCAAATACAGACACATCCTCTCGTGGTGTCAAGGCTGTATATATCCACTGCATGGGTGACCGAAAAATCCTTGGTTTGCCTAAATATACCGAAGTTACAATCTCAGACAGCCATGTTATCTTCAGCAGAGAAAAGCCCACAGATATCTCTGTTCATATGGGCATTCCACTTCTCACCAGGAAAACCGGCTACGTTGATCCACGCTGGGTTGATAAAAGACCTGGTATCGATTATGCGTGTGCAACATCGAAGGATCCCATGTCGAATAGAAAAGCACTATACCTTAATCTGCGAGCCAATCTTAAACAGGAGCAATACTGGGGCTTTTCCGACATGGAGAAATGGGACACAGTCATTGGCACGGTTTTGGTTGCAAGGCAAGATAAGAAGGACATCACTGCGCATCAGGTTGAGGGGCTGGCCAGGTTCTGTTTCTATGATCTTTCACCTGCCATGGGAGAGCTTGAAGAATATATCTTCGAGGATTATCCAAAGAAATCAGATCGAAAGAAGGTTCGCGAGAAGTTTACGAAGGATTTCATGTGTCAAGCCAAGTTTGAGGAGTGCTATGAAAAATTGAAAGCAGAGAGAGTTGCGGCCGGAAAGTCCTCGTGGGCTACTGCTGTTTCTCCTTACTCTCAGATTTAAACCCGACTGAATCAACACGCATGGAAACTGGGGTGCAGTATGAATTTAGGCAGAGGATTTCATATACTTGATAATTTACGATGACGGATGATAGCGGGAAGGATTCTAAGTGATCTTGCCGCTTGCGACAGAAGACTTCATGGAGACAACACAATTGACAGTAGTGGAAGGGATGCTCAATAATTGGTCTCGTAGTGGAAAATTTGGGTTTGCGCGTGGGGTTAAGAGAGAACAATGCGAAGTTAAGGTGAATGCTTTTCAGTGGGACTCTTACAATAATTTCATGCATGGGGTTAATTTTATAAAGTTCCATCATATTGATTCGCAATGGAGAGCCTAAAAATAGATATCGTGCATGAAACTTTCCTTGACTAAAATTGTTACAGACGGTGCTCACTATGGAGAACAATTTCTAGACGTTCACGTGGTTTTTGAAAGTTAAAACATTCTCTCCATACATCCTTGATCTCTCCACAACATGATTGGAATAATTGGCACAAATGTTTCGCTTGTCTGATTCTTCGCTTCCACCCCAAACACCTAAATATCAAATGGGCTGATAGCATCAGCCCATGATTGATCCCCCCCTTCAATCTTAGCTTTCTTGAACTCCCCAAAATATTTTTCAAAGGCGTCTCTATTCAGAAGGCCCTTCGTGACTTTCTCTTTCTCGACAGTTGGTGGTCTTGCGTCTTTGTATCTGTGAATTAAGTTTCCCATTTCAAAGTAGACGACACGGCGAAAATAATTGGCGATAACTTCGACTTGATGGACAGTGATTGACTTCTTGTCTTTCCTTACGACCTGAAAGCTTCCTATCTCTTGGAGAGGGAACCTCACCATATCTTTTGGAGACAACCCTCCCCAGCTCTCATCTTCCGGGTCAATTGTCAGAAATAGAAATAATGCTTCTTCATTGCGGTGAGGAACTAAAGTGTTCGTTCTCAGAGCCAATTCATGCTGGCCCTCGACATTCTGATAATCATACGGCTCGATGAATGAACGAAGTACCAATCTGATTCCCAGGGCTTTGGTGCATTCTATATCTTCGTGGAGGAATGCGTAGTCCGCAGTGGAAATTTCGATGCTCTCGTATTTAGGAAGTTTCAAAATTTCCGTTCCACCCTCACAATGTATGCGCACAGCCGATACTTTTGGCGCGGCGGACTTCTCTGCGTGATGTAACTCTTCGAGAATGTTGATTTCATTGGTGAAACCTTGAAAGCTGTATTTGATTTGATAATCCTTCATTCCTGTTGGTACGTGGCGGCGCAGCCAGTCGGCAACAATGCGAAGGTCTGATGGCTGAGCATCTCCTATGGATCTGGTTCCTTTGACTCTGTGAACGACAATCATGGCACCTCGATGTCCGAAAGTCATGCAATTGCTTGCCAATTTACTGGCGCATTTGTTAATTGGTGTTTGAAGAATGTTATGAGTGGGCATTGCGGGCATCTTAATTTCTAACTGGCGATGCCAGTATCTTGAGTCGTCCGGAAAACTCTCAAGTAGGGCGATGTTTAGGCGTAGGGTAGTAGTATCAATTCTTCCCACTCCACTGAGATCTAACCACTTGACAAGTGCTTGGGATGTTAAGGCCTGCATAGGAGAAAGTTCCGTAGAGCTTCTCTGGCAAGTTTCAAGCCAAAGGAATTGTGGCTGCTTTTCATTGACCGGAAGAAGAATCACAAGCTTGAATGGTCCGAGATTTCCATTTGCGGGACGTGGCACGTTGGTAGTAAAATCGGCGTAGGGTCTGCAGACTAGCTTGTGTAATTTCCAATCACCCTTTTGACACTGTTCGTTGCAGTAGAATAAGGTTTTACAGCCTGCACATCTTTGTTTTGCTCCAGTAACATTGCAAAATGCGCATTTGGGAGTCAAATCAACCGGCGCGGATTGATATTGAGGGCAATCAGGAGGGTGCTGGGAAGCTTCAGGAGGTGCAAAAGTTGAAATCCATTTTCGAGACATTATTGATAGACCACTGAATTTTCAAGGGTCTGTTTCCTTGCTTTGCGAAGCTCGATAATCTATTCACAATGAGTTCATCAGCTTGGACTCAAGCCATCGAGATAATGTAAGATAGACAACTCGAGAAGCAGTAATGAAACTTAAACTTCTATTAATTCGACTTATCTTGAAGGTTGGAAGAGAAGCAAGGGGCAACAAATGAACTTACCTGAAATTGATAGAGAGTAAGTACAATTTATGAGAGCTCATCAGAGGCTGGACCATTTCTTATGATATGTATGTAGTTCCTGGTTTGTTTGGTCTGCAACAATGCGTGTTATGAGATATGACATATGATATTGTAGTTGTCTTGAATGCTAACACCCTGGATTGGGTTTTTACTAACGCAATCTAGAATAGTACAGCAAACGGGTATTTCAAATGTGCTTCCCGAATTTTTGTTTGTAGCAGTGAGCACAAATAGAGAATAAAAGCAGCATTAGTTCTGGGATAGTGACATACATATGTCGGCTAAATACATTCCTGCGTGTAGCCACGGATCAGCTATGCATTAGTTCGTTTCACACCTTTTATTGCAAACATAGCTTTCATCATTCTTCCCTCTTAATTTTCAAAGCAATGAGAGAGAGGGGAAACTTTAGCTGAGTACAAAAGCTTGTCATAACCAATCAATTTGTTGGAAAATTTCTAGAAGATCGATAGCAAGCCAATTATGTAAAGGCCATGGAAATATGAGTAGGTGGTGAAAAGTTTATTTGTCCTCTGATCTTTTCACTCTTGTAATCTTTCCTCTCACACGTTCCGTCTTCGTCCAAAATAAGCGACCTTTCTTCAGGGCTCCTCGTCAAAGAAGGAAGTAGGAACACCGGGTGGAATGATGTTATAAATCTCAGTCGTGCCATTTCAATCTTATTCGGAGTTTCGAATCCTCCCATCAAAAAAGCAGCTTAGATAGAGAATAGCAAATGCGCTCCTGAAGAATACTAACTGTCCTTTAACACTGATCATCTATGATTCCGAAATGGAACCTTCTGAAGGCACTTTTCACAGTTAGTTATTTAAGTGGATGCCACTGAAATTTGTTTCAATTTGTTGAAAGCATGACTACATAGCCTTCACGCTTTTCTCCTCTCGAGTCAGAGCTTCCTTTTCTTCTTCCTTAGTTCAAAGAAACATCGGACGAGGTTCTCCGTGTGAGCTACCAGAAGGGTATTAGAACCATCCTGTGTATTCAGTAGAAGATAGCCATCAGTTTTTGAGTCTTCATGGGGACTCAGATAGCAAATAGATAGATGCTACAACAGATTGCTGTTCGGCTTTGGCGGCGTATCTGAGTGATTTAGCCCTCTCTAACCCTATTCATATATTTGCAGATTCACAGAGGATAAATTACGAGCAAGTTAACGCACAGAATGGCTTAATGATACCTTCCGGTAGGAGCTCTTTGAAGCATTTATAGTGATCAATTAACACGTCATGCTCGGGTTCTTTGCCCGGGAGTGCTTGTGGTAATTTGATTTGATTTATACTCAATTGGATATTCCAGTCATTCCACTCTACGTGAGACAGAGGTAGCTATTATTAAACCTTTCAAGCAAGCAAAATCAGCAGAGCCAAGGACTTCAATTCAAAACTGAGAGATTCAATCTCGGAACCAAGCGAAGAAAGTGCTTTCGAGTTTGCTGTCAGGTAAAAATAAACCTATACTTTTCATTGCCAGAGAGAGTATAAGAGTTAGAAATCTGCTTCTCAGGCCAAGAAAAACAGTACCACGAAGAGCTCAGCAAGGAAGATGACTTGAAATGTGGGTTACGTTCTGTTGATTTTACCTTCAAAATCATAGAGCTACAGAGAAAACAAATGATATTTATTATTGACTCAATCTAACATCTAAAACGACCGTGGAAGGAGAAGTGGGAAACAGAAGGAAAAGTAGAGGTTGCCAAATCCAGGCTCACAATCAAAGTACTGATAGAGCAGCAGAGGAACGAAGTGAAAATCCATGATGAGAATTCTGACAAAATTCAAGTCCAGTATTGAGCCTTTTATGATGAAATTTCTCCTTCACCTTTGAAAATAACTTCTAGTGAATAGAATTTACATAGACCGCATTTTCCTAGTTTTTTTTACCTCAGCAATTCCGAACCAAATCTGCAGGCATATCTTTCAGACTATCAAGCGCTTTCTTTAAAGTCTACACACCTCTAAACTGCAAATCTCAGTATTTCCATCTGACACACCTCATCCTCGACATAGAGTCCTCGATAGGAATCAATTACATCTTACTATCTGGGGATCCAAGGCATTATCGAGTGGGTTATCTTATACAATCCTTCGCCATCCGCTCATCTAAACTACCAAGACTCTTATCCCCACATCAAAAACTTCAATCATACACACGCAAGCATGGTGGGAACAATTGGCTGTTGTACAGTCTGCAAGAGAACGCGCGCGCTCATATGTACGGGCTGCAGGTCTGCGGAGTATTGCTCCAAAGACTGCTAGAGAAAGGACTACAGAACCCATAAATTGCTTTGCTCTGAGTATGGGCGCATGATAAATTCAGCCAGACCTAGTGCAAACGCTAAGCTTGCTTTTCATTTCGGGCAAGGACCTTATGGAGAATCATGTGTTCCTAAGATTATTTGGGTCGAATTGGAAGGTGAAGATGGAAAAAAGTGCGTCAAGCAAGTTGAGAGAGATGGGAATGGTGTCAAGATCCATAAAAATCTACTTGTACAAGCGATGGATAAGGTATCACATCCAAATCCCGAGCCTCGTAACTTACCATTGAACCATTACCAATGCACCAGAAAGTTCAAACTTAACCATGATATTGTGCTACATCATCGAGCTGCACATATGTTCGATAACTCAGTACCCAATATGAGCGTCTTCAAATTCACTGATGGAGTTCAAGGTCTCCTTTGGAGAGGACCTGTGACCTTCTACAGCTGCAAAGGGGTGAAATTGGATAGACTTGCAAACAGAGTCCCTGACTTGGATGTCACTATGTCTGACCTACATGTCGCATTGAGTTTCTTGCAGAACAAGACTGGATCAAATGCTGGGCCCGAAGCACTCTCGGCGGGCGGCTTGTTCCTGTATGAAGTCTATGAGCCTTTGCTGTTTCAACAGCTGATAGTTAGGTACTCAAAGAACGCAAAGCCAATCAAGGGTATTCGAATATCTTGTCTCGGAGACATTCAACATCTACGCAAGGAAGAATATCAAGTCGTCGATATTTTACCTAATCATCCTATATTCCACGCCGATCAGCCAGATCCTCATGCTGCCGTCCTCAAACAACTTGGAATTCCACTCATCGCTCGCAAGCTCATATCCGATGAGGATTTGCAGCCAAGAAAGGGTCTGCGGAGTAGGGTGGGCTACGAAGTTCTGGAGAACGAGGTGGCAATTGCTTTGAACCTCATCACTGATGTCAATAGCCACCGGTTCAATTTTCCCGACCTTGGTGCACATTGGAAGAAGGTCGTAGGACCGGTTGTGCTTGTGAGAGAAGATGGGAAAAGACTCACAATCCACCAAGTGCAAGCATTGGTGGCTTTTTGCAAGCACAAGGTCGACTGGAATGACGCTTTGTGGATGGCTATGTTGACTTTGGGGATGGAAAGGCTTGATCACTTCGTCTCAATCGAGATCAGACAGAACGAAGTACGCGAAATAATGAAAAATGACGAAACGCTCAAGGCGCAATTCCAAGAGTTTTTTGAAGAATTCAAGCGGGAGAAGATCAGTGGTGACGATGAGGGCGAAGTTGATGGGGACCCATCTTGGGCTGATGAAGCATCACCATATGATGTGTGAGATAGCGCGTTGTGGCGCCAAAATAAATGTTGCAAATTCATGGGTATACTTAGTTAGTTGCTGGTAGTTGGTTTCATTAAGAGCACTGCGGCGAGAGGGACATTAGCCGCGGAGGTCCCAGATGCACTATGCAATACTTTATTCGATCGCTTCATATTATCAACAGCGTTGTACTTAGGTTTGCATTTATAGAAGATATATCAACAATGAAAAGGTGCTCTTTTCGAAATCAACCCAGACTCTTCGTGATTGTGTTTTCTGAGGGGTAAAACCAAAATATCACCATAATCAGCCATTGTGCAGTTCATGCCCTGGAAATCTGGAAACTACTATGTTTTCTACATATTTTTCAAATTGAAGTATGAGTGACTCACCAAGATTTGATCGGCATTTTATAATGATGAAACATTTGAGTTTGAAGTCTCGAGGTAGATTATTGGTAGGTTTCTGGGACATCGCTCAATCAGGACCGGTGAGAAATTAGCGCCTTACGCATTTCTTATAGGCTTCCATCTTTATTCCAAACATATAAACATACCTCTTTCTTCTCGTCACAGCTCTTTCTATTATCCTTCAAGTGAGAGCTTCATTTCGTTCATTGAGTCTTATATCGTATGTCGAGCAGAATTTCAAAAATGCTGCCCTTTCAATCAGCCCGTCATCACCCCGCTTCGTTTAGACCCAGACGTCCTGAACAGGGGTTCCAGTTCGGCATCCTACTACCAGCTTCTTTGGTGGGATATCTATAAAACTTAATGATAATGATAAGGAAAGCTCTTCGTATAGGTACTCTATTGATTGTTAGTATCGAAAATGCCCGGGTAGTCTTTGGTGGTCGATCATCATGTGTGAATCTTTTAGGTCACAGAACTCGAAATGCAGCCACTCTTGCGATATGGATTACATATCCATTTCATCGGACCGGCTGGTATACATTACCTTGTCTGGAATTCTTGGTTTCAGCATGGTGGGATCGAGAATATATGCAGACATTGGATATTTGATTAGCAAATAGGTAAAGATGGGATACAATCATGAATGCTTACTCCGAACATAGTCGCACCACCGCCTTAAACGGCCGCTCCAAGCATCGATATTTGTCCTCAAGTTCCAGTGGATTAAACCGTCAAGAGCCACTCTTTTCCACACCAGGGGCTTTTAGTTACACAGACGGGCACAATAATCCATCCAGTTCGGTGGTTTTCGACCACGGATAGAGACACAAAATGGTGCCTTGGACTATCTAGTCAGCCCACTTCACGGCTACCAATTCTTTTCCTAAACGGTTCAAAACCACTTCTCACGATCATTCGACTTATCTCTCAGCTCAGGGATAAATGTTTGAAACGACGTGTCTAGGTGGGAGGGTGGCTCGGGTGGACAGAAAATCCATACCGAAGTCTGACCCCACTGGGTAAACGTCGGTCAACAATTTGTCAATCATAATTGACAGCCATTATTCATTCCAATCTTCAGCGATCTTGTATCTAATTATTACATAATTTTAGCCGAGCTGATACCTTTTTGTCTCACTTTCCTCAATCATTCATTCCCCGTGGCCACAAGACAACTTCCAGCAATTCCTGGCTGAGATTGAAACCATGGAGGAGAACCCGATTGAAACCGTCCAATCCTAGACTTTGCAATTTTTATTGTTCTGGCCACCCAAGACGAGACGTCTGCATTCGAGAAATTGCGACCTATAATATGCGGAGAGTCATTGCCATTTTCTGATTGGGCTTCTTGGTTTAAGGTTCACTTAGCAAAATCCTGAATATTTATGTGTGCTCAATGCATACTTGAACAGTTGTTCTATGCATCCAGAATATTGCCTATATGCAGAAAACTCAGGGACGGCACGCGAGAACGCTTGTCGTCAAACTCAAGACGGATGGCCCCGTCTATCACTGGTCGTCATGAGCAATGATACAAGCATTCAGCACCGTTATCGCTGCTGGTACTACCCACCTCAAAGTTCATCAAAAGTGGGAGTCACAAGGATCCTGCAATACCCAAAAATGTCATTTTTAGTGTCGGAAACTGCCTCAACAGTCTTTGGTGCTCACCTCCCTTTCTATTGTTCATTCGATTGGGCGCTGTCAATTAGGTTCTCACACCCAAACTTACTCGAATTCTAGATATGCCAAGTATGGAAGGTCGCATTTCTACCATTGTGGCGGATTCGTGGAGCGCACGGGCTTAGCTGACAAGCTCCGTCAAGCTTTACGGCTTGCATTTCCAAGACAGTCAAGCTTTGCTTGTCCAGATTGAATGCGGGGCGATTGCTTATCGGAATTCCCCTAAAAGGCAGGTAGGTGAACATGTACGTTAAGCCATCAGATCATCACAGATGTTCACTAGCTTTTTACAAAAGACGGTATAGTTAACGGTAGAACTGGAAAGTTCAAGTTTCATATGGCTCAAAAATATACGCAAACCCTGAAGGGTTGCAACTAGTCAGTCGTCACACCACGTTGCGATTGATCCACAATGGCACACTTCGTATCTTATCTATTTTCAAATCTGGTTTCTAATATCCGAGATAGTTTCCGGTATCATGAGGCTGTAGTGGTTTCTATAAATGATGCTTGTTTTCCCGAGGATTTCCTTTCTTCTTCAGCCCTTCTTATTTTGCCTGTGAGCACTAGCTTTCAGTATGGACTCGCCACGAGAGACTGACGTCGTTTACGACGAGAAGAGTCATGAACCACCAGCCATCACCAAGAACCCCGAATCCATTGATTCTAAGGATGCAAAGAATGACAAGTTTGGAGAGACACCTTACGAAACCGAGATTTCTTCTAGTTCTGATGAAGAAGGACGTGGTGGTGAGGTCAATGCTCTTGAGACTTCAGAAGATATCGTTACCGCAATTATCAATGTCGATGATGATCCAACCCTGAATCCCTGGACTTTCCGCATGTTCTTCATTGGTTCGTCCGCTCATTAATTGTCTTCTTTGTAAATGCTAATGTGTCATCAGGTTTGGGACTATCTGCTTTTGGGGCTGTACTCCAAGAGATCTTTTACTTCAAGCCTCAAGTTATATATGTATCAGTCAGTAAGTTTATGATAACTACTCCAATGCTTGTTCCACGTGTATTCTGATGCTTCTTAGTGTTCTTGACTGTCATTGCATATGCCATTGGAGAATTTATGGCTTTTGCCATCCCAAGATGGGGTGCAGTTGGTCGATTCCTTAATCCTGGTCCGTTTAACCAAAAAGAACACGCTGCCGCTGTTATTATGGCATCGGCCGCCGCTGTTTCGGCTTTGTCCACTGAAGCATTAGCAGCTCAAAAGCTTTGGTATGGAGGATATCCTAGTCAGGCTGCCGGTGTATTCTTGACTTTATCTTCGCAATTAATTGGGTACGGTGTTGCAGGTATGATGAGAAGTAGTCTTCTGTGGCCTACAAAGATGCTTTACCCAGCAAATCTTCCAGTTACTACTGTCTTGGAAACGTTACACAAAGAAAAGAAAGCCAATAGGAAGAGAATGAAAGTTTTCTGGATCATTTTCTTTGCTATTTTAATTTGGGAATTGCTTCCGGAGGTGCGTTTTGCTATATCTTTGGTCTCAACCCAAGCATATCTGACATATTTTAGTACATTTTCCCACTTCTTATCGGTGTATCCATCTTTTGTCTTGCAGATCAACACAATCTAGTGTTCACCAATCTTTTCGGAGGCGCAAACGGAAACGAGGGTGTAGGATTCTTATCCCTATCTTTCGACTGGAACTATGTCGCTAGTTTTGGATCTCCCCTCTGGATGCCACTTCAGACTTTGGTAAACAGTTTCATCGGTACTCTCGGCTGTATTATCCTTTTTATGGCAGTATACTATGGTAACATTTGGAGGGCACAAGATTTCCCATTTTTGTCTCAACAATTGTTCAATGGCGATTCGAACTTTACCTTCTACGATACCTTCAATGAGACAACAATCCTCAATGACGATTTTACCGTGAACGAGGAGGCACTTGAAGCTGGAGGTATTCCTTATATGGCTTCCACCTATATTGTTTATCTCATCACATCCAACATGGGATTCACAGCTAATTTTGTTCATATGTTTCTCTGGAATTTTGAGGACATTAAGACAGGATGGGCTTGGGCTAACAAAGCCACACTGAAGAAGTTGTTAACACCTTCCCATTATATGTTCTGGAAAGGCAATGGCAGCAAACGCAGTGAAGAAGAAAAGCAAATCTTGAGGGATGATCCTAACATTGATCCGCATTACAAAGTCATGTTGGATTACGATGAAGTCCCCGATCTCTGGTACTTCTTGGCATTCGCGGCAAGTTTCATCACTTCGATGGCTTGTCTTTATGCTATGAAGTCAACCCTTCCATGGTGGGGTCTGATTTTGGCTATGCTTTTCTTGACGGTTTTCATGTTGTTTTTTGGTGCTCAGTATGCCATTACTGGTTTCCAGTTCAATATTGAACCTATTGCTCAAACGCTTGCCGGATATTTATTCCCTGGAGCACCTCTTGGTAAGTTGCATGCTTTTTCATAATTTGCAGCATTACTAACAATGAAATTAGCAAACATGTACTTCACAACCTTCACTTTCAATGCACTTCAACAAGGACAATATCTCCTCCGAGATCTTAAACTTGCTCAGCAAAACAAGCTTTCTCCAAAGGTCACATACACAACGCAGATAATCGGATGTATTTTCGGTGCTTGTCTCAATTACGTCATGATGATCACGTGAGTTGGCCTTTTTCCACTCTCATTCTCTTCGCAAACTAACAAACTCTAGCATCGTCAAGAATCAAGCTCCAAACCTTCTGACCATTGAAGGAACGCCTATTTGGTCGGGAGCTAATGTTCAATCCTTCAACTCCCTCGCAATTGCCTGGTCTATTGCTCCTAAGATGTTTTCTATCGGTGCTCGTTACCAATGGGTCACCATTGCATACCTCCTCGGATTCCTCGTCCCCGTTCCCTTCTGGCTCCTCAACAAATACTTCCCCCGACAACGCGT